TTGTTTTTTTCATTTTATCAAATTTTTCGCCGATTCGGACGTGCGTGCCAATTTTGGTGAGTTTTTGAGCGTGTTTAGGGGGTCAAATTAAGGGTTTCGCGTTGGTCAGGCAAATAAGAATAAAGAAAGAAACACAGCAGGAACAATAGGGTCCTCGGAGCCTAATAATAATAATAAAGAAAGAAACAATACAGGAACAACAGGGTCCTTGCCCTGCAAAAATAGGGGGCAAGGACCCCTGCTTGCTTTGCAAGTAGGGGTCCTCAGACCCTAAATATGAAGATGCCATCTTGGGCTCTGAAAAATAATAATGGACATTTTTCACCAATTTCTTCCATTTTACTCACTAAATTATGAGTAATTATTGATTGACAAAGAAATGTATCTCTCTGAATATTTATGATAACTAGAAATTTCTTCTGTTGTTTCATGGCCATTCAGATGTTTAGCCATAAAGGTATTTAGGAGTCACATAACACTTAAAATAAATCTATTATGCTTTTCAATGACTATGCCCCTTCCCCTCATATTTTGCACTACTTTGTCAGTCAGATTCTTCACTCCTTCGGCCTAGTCCTATTCATACTGCAGGTTACCAATTGACCAGCTCGTCATTTCTTTTTATGGACATATAGAAAAGGGTGAGGTTGGCCCATAAAAGACATTTATTATAACATTTATTCAAGTTTTTCCATCCTTTCAGTTAGCTGACCTGTTTCATTGAAAGATGTCTTCCTTTTTTGTTCCAAATGTTGATAATTGCTTTCATAGATTGCATTACTCAAGAAATAAAAAAATTAGACGCTGGTTCCCTCTTTTGCATCACTCGTCTTTAGCCAAGGCCAAGTTGTAACCTCCACACCCATTGTCATTTACAATTTTGCAAATTCAGGCAGTAAAAATACCCCGCAGCAATCCTCTCTGGGGTCCAAAGTTTAAATGTTTTCTTTCAGGTTTGTACAATGGCGTAGGAACAGACAGTTCTTGTACATATGTTGAGTTCCTATGAGGCATTTTCACATTGCCCTTTAAACACACAGAGCTGAAATATGACACTCATGGCATTATATAAGGCCAATACAAAAAGGTGCCCTTGTTGAAAATATTGTACAGGGAACAAGTATGTGATCATTTTTGCCAATTTCATGTTTCTTTGTCTAATGACATTCACACACCTATTATTTACATACGCTCCAGAGATGTTAGAAATTTAACTCTGTGTTCTGGCATTTAGCAATTCATTCTCGTACACCTCTCCTTCTTTTTAAGGACTAGTACTGTACCACTATGCTGAATGAGTGTGCATTTACTTTTTTGGTATTGCGTGTGCTTACCATATTGATACTGGGACTTTGGCAGCCTTGGAGCCCAATGAATAACCACTAACATCATGCATCCTGTTTTAATATTTGCATCCTACTCACGAACCTGACGTGACTGACGTTGCCTGTGTTGACACATTCACCCTTATTCAAATTACAGCCAGTGGAGATAAATTTGGTCTAGCAGCAGTGAGAAATGATTTTCATTGGTGAGCTGCCTGGTAAAATGTTGCTCCATTTGGAACAAGCATATTGGCACAGTATGTTAGTATTTGCATGTATCAGATGGTGAAGGGGAAAACACCAAAGGAAAGCCTGCTCCTTTTTGTAATGTGTCATGCTAAAGAATCATTCCGCTGTTCAGGCTATAGTTTTTGACAAAATAAGTGCATCTTCTGTTTATGATCACATGTGAATGGTGTGTTGAATACAAGGGAGAAAAAAATGTTGTTTTTGACATGTTCTGTCGGGTTTTTCATGCCCGACAACATAATGCGGCGGAAACTAATTGAGCATCACATATCTACTCTCGTGACAGAGATGTTGTCAGTTTGAAACTTCAAAAGCAAGTTTTCATCTTGGCATTACTCCATTAAATAATTGACTGTTTGTGACTTTGGTCTGAAAACAATACTTTGAATTCAAGTTCTATTTAAATAACCAGAGCTTCCAGTGTCAATGCTGTGCCTCAAGTCAGATCTCTTTCCCTTTCCTCTCTGCACTGTGATTGCACATACAATGACTAACATGAAATAAAATACTTTTGCGGAAAGTATGAAAAATAGCTTGTTGTTTAAGGACAAATGACTTCCACTAGATACATCTTTTGTTTATGCCAGTAGTTGTTCTGTCTGTTCCAGGAAACAATAATGAGACTTTTCTTCCCTGTAATACAATCCCTCTATTACAGTGGTTATGTTGTAAAGCACCTGTGAGCAAGCAAACCATAAAATATAAACTCTCTGTCTTGTCTCTGGAAGTTTTTCTTATTCACTTGCAACGTAGTTCATTAACTCTCAGAAGAGGACACAGAAGGAAGTTCTCAGTAGCAGAAACACCTGGCTTTTGTAGAGACACGTATATACATCATTATGATACCTAATTCATTAACAAGCTAAATAAAACCCAAACACTGTAGCCCCAACTTGTCAATGTTTAAAGGCAGCATTGTCAAAAATTGTCTTTCCCAAAAACAGCTTTGTTTTTGTGTGAACAGCGTTGTCCCTGTGTTTCCACAAGTACTCAAATACAATGCAACACACACACACACACACACACACATACACGGGTTAAGTCAACAGTGCATTTCCTTGAGGGGGAATTGAGTTAAGCTTAAGTGATTTTTTATAAATGAGTGATGCCAGTCATGTGCCCTTTATAATCTGACCACAAACAAGGAAGTTGCTGATTTGTGCTGCACAACTCTTTTTTTTTTTTTCCCCAGGAGACCCTGCTCAGTTTGATCCAACCTTCAAAGGACCCATACATAACAGGTGAATCAGTCTCATTGTCTGTTTAGTCAACTCAAGTATATAGTCTATATTAATCCCCAAATCCTCTGTCCAACAAAAGGGTTTCTGATGTGCTGTGTGGGTCTGTGTGTTTGTGTTTCTATTTAACGCTGAAATCACATTTATCGCCACCAAGGCAAACTTTAATGCAAAGCTCAACCTGCTCTCTTACACCTGTTGCTGTGTCTCTTTTTTTCCACAGAGGCTGCACTGACATAATCTGCTGTATTCTGTTTCTGGTTGTCATCCTTGGCTACATAGCAGTTGGAATTTTAGGTGAGAGAAACATAACAACACCCACTCAGGGTTTTCAATCCATCCCATCACAATAAGTCATTATGGTCCACCACCTTTTGTTTGTTCCACTAACTATGTCCACAAGTCATTTAAAAAACCTTTTTTACTTCAGACTCTCTCTGTTGCCTACCTCCAAAAAAGAGTTCAGCATTTTGGGAAATACGCTTAGTCACTTAGAAAACCTAGGTAAGGAAATGACTACAACTTTGTGTTTGTTCACTATGAAGCTGAGCTGGCAGCTGGTTAGCTTAGCTTAGCATAAAACCTAGGAACAGATACAAACAGATAGCCTGCCTCTGTCCAGCTACAACAATATCCACCTTGCAACACCTTAAAAGTAATATGCGTTATCTTGTTTCAATAATACAAACAAAATCGGAATTGTCAAATGACAATTTGTGGTTTTGGGTGGATATGTGTTGGATTTATTTGTTTATATGTTTTAGGGCCTAGGAGCAGTGACCTCCTGGAATCCACTAGTTTCCTGTCATTTACAGTGACATTGACATTTAGTGAGCTGTAAATGAGCTGGCAGCTCATTTAAAAGCTTTAGTATGTTGAGTAGATTGCTGAATGTGAAATGTCCCTTCTTTGTTCTCTGTAAACATCCAGTCAGCAGCTCTTTATTGCCCTGACCTCAAACTCATTCCAACACTCAGGGCCCTGCTTCTTATCTAAAGTAAACAGAGCAGGTTAATAGGTTATGTCCCAAATAATCAGGTATTTCCTCCACTGGAGGTCAAATCACTGGGTTGCTAAGGTGAACTGGTAATGATTAAGCGGAGACTTTTCCTGCCCATTGTTGACATATTACAGGCTGGATTTATTCCATGTCAACAAAATGTTCTATTGCAGATTATATGACAAGCAGCGGTAATAATCAAGAAATACACCAGCTCTAGCTTGAGTATGTGTTCAAATTACTTGACAGTCCTTTGGCATATGATTTTGTTTTCAACAATCTACAATAAGTTAGTTCAAACCAAACTCTGTAGGAGCAAGAGAAATGCCATCAAAACATAAAAGTGCATCCTGTTATGCCCTCTTGTGGCTGGTCTGAAATAATTCATGAATTGCTGCTGTTAGACCAAATTCTGCGACTGGGTTTTTTTTTATTTTTAAGGTTGCTTTTCTCGCATTTTATTTTGACATGCATTTGCATAAATGGTCATTTATAACCCAATATTAACATTAGGCTGTCAGTGTCAGAATACTAATGGATAAATGACTAGATGAATATAATAGAGCACAACTAACTTTTCACATCTTTCATATCATCAGCTTTTATTCTTTTCTGTCACTGTTTTAATTTGTTGTTTTTTTTTTTCTATCAGCCTGGCTCTTTGGAGATCCTAGACATGTTCTTTATCCAAGAAATTCAACTGGGGCATACTGTGGCATTGGACCAAATGAGTAATTCCATATACATTTTGCTGTTTATTATTATTTTAACAGGCAGAATATGTACATATTTGACAGTGTACCACAAAATCAAAGTGACTTTCTTTCCTTTTTCAGAAATCGACCCCACTTGTTCTACTTTGATGTTCTCAAATGTGCCATGTCTATCAATGCTATGGCACAAGCTCTTAATGGATTCCAGTGTCCAACCACACAGGTAGATAAAGCTGCTGAATTTTGTAGTTCCAGTTATACTGTACTATTTATGCAAAGTCCCAGAATAATCATCTTTTTAACAACCCGCAGGTGTGTGTAGAACGATGTCCCTCCGATTTCTATGCTTTGAACCCAACAGCGTATTTTCTAAAGCCAGAAAACGTTTTCAATGCAAGCCTGTGTGTGCCCTCTTTGGACCTGGCAAATACTGAGCTGGTAGGATATAGTCGTTTTAATCTCTTTTGATACAGAAAAGAAAATCTGTTAATGCAGTTTGCAGTAGTAGGTGTGGATTTTCACCATCTGACTTTTCAATTAATTTTGTTTTCTTTTTTTTCTGAACAACTTTATAATGGATTTTTTTTTTTTTTTTTTTTTTTTTAGAACGTTAAAGACATTGTGGACAAGGAGCTGTGTCCTTTTTTCTACATGCCCACGACCTCTGGTGAGTAAACATATAGACTCCATTTCCAAGCCCTGGATAAGGCCTAGTCCCAGACCAAAAAACTTTTTGAACAGAGATTTTTCTTTTAGTCTAAAACTAGGCTAAGCTTTGTCTGGGAAACTGGCTGATATGCCATACTTCATTCATTAGACATTTGATCTGACAATATAAAGTTGAAACAGTAAGTTTACATACACTGTATAAAAAGACATATAACATCTTTTTTTCTCACTATCTGACATTACATCAGACTATACTTTTCTTGTTTTAGGTCGGTGACGTTTACCAAAATTATTCTACTTGCTAAATGCCAGAATAATAAGAGAGAGAATTTTTTAGAGAATGTTTTTATTACTTTCTTCAAACTTAACTGTTTACATACATTTCCTTAGTATTTGGTAGCATTGCCTTTAAACTGGATGACTTGGGTCAGACTTTCTCGGGTTCCTACAACAAGCTTCTCACAATAGTTTGCTGGAATTTTGGCCCATTCATCCTGACAGAACTGGTGTAACTGAGTCAGGTTTGTTGGCCACCTTCCTTGCACACACTTTTTCAGCTCTGCCTACAAATTTTTCACGGGATTGCGATCAGGGCTTTGTGATGGCCGCTTCAAAACATTGACTTTGTTATCCTTAAATCACTTTGTAACTAATTTGGCTGTATGCTGGTCATTGTCCATTTAGAAGACCCATTTGCGCCCAAGCTTTAACTTCCTAGCTGATGTCTAGAGATGTTACTTCAATATTTCCAAATAATGTTCTTTCTCATGATGCTGTCTATTTTGTGACATGCACCAGTCCCTCCTGCAGCAAAACACTCCCACAACATGCAAACTCCCGTACTTCAGAGTTGGGATGGGATCCATACAAAAGGGAGCAGTGTGTTTGAGGTGTGCTTTATAGTACATCCACAGGTGTGCCTCCAATTAACTCAAAGGTTGTCAATTAACCTATCAAAGCTTCCATCTGGTTCGGATACCTCCGGGGAGGCTTCCTCTGGAGGTTTTCCGAACACGTCCACCTGAGAGGAGACCCCGGGGCAGACCCAGAACCCGCTGGAGGGATTGTATCTCTCGGCTGGCCTGGGAAGTCCTCGGGATCCCCCAGGCAGAGCTGGAAAGCATCGCCGGGGGGAGGGAGGTCTGGGACGACCTGCTCCGCCTACTTCCCCCGCGACCTGACCCCAGATAAGCGGAAGTCAATGGATGGATGGATGGATGGAAGCTTCCAAAGCCATGACATCATCATCTGGGCTTTCCCAAATACACTGAACAAAAATATAAATGCCCCATGTCAAATATAAGTTTTATGAACATTTGGGTTATGCAATATATAGAGAAACTCAAAATATATTTTCAGTAATTACTGATCTTCATATCGCCATTGATAACATCGTGGTATGACCATTTGCAGCGGATTGACAGTCCTTTGAAGATGATAGGGGTCAGGTTGAGGAATTAGATTTTTCAGTATCTTCTGTGTTCGCCAGCTGCGTCTCTCAGAGCAACACATCTTCTTCTCATGGAGTTGATCAGATTGTCTATGGTGGCCTGTGGAATGTATTATTTAGCAAATAGAAATAACTTTAGGAATCCTAACTGACGTTTAGTCTGATTTAATGTGACAGACAGTGAGGGAAAAAAAGGTTTGTATCTTTTAATACAGTGTATGTAAACTTCTGGTTTCAACTGTATTAGGACTGTAGCTGCTTGTCTAACTTAAGTATGGCTTTAATGTCACTGAATATTAAAAACACATGTATATGTTTAATGGACAATACACTGGTTTGCAAAGTATGTTGGAGATCTATAAACAAATTCTAATTGTATGTGATTAAAGATGATTTGATGTAATTGTTTTCTCTACTGTCAGTGCTTGGGAGATGTTTGCCTGATATCACAGCACTGGGGCGGATCCCTTCATACTTTTCCGATGTTCCCGGCCTCCCCTCCTCAGTCAATGAAACTGCCAGCAGTATCCTAAACGGCACTGGGTAAGAGACAGCTTCCTGACAGCATCATAATGCTTGTTTAAGAACAAATTTTTAATTTTCTTTTTTTCAAATAACTACACATATCAAATAACCAACACACTTTCATAACCCTGTCTCTTTCTCCTCCTTATCTACAGCACAGGGTTGGTGATTTTGTGAGTTTTTTGTGTTGAGCCATAGTGTAGCTGGTGGTTGTAGTTGCTCTTGTTTCTCTGTTTAACTCAGGTATATACAATGACCTTGGATGTCATGGGAAACACTCTTGGGACTAGTGGCGGCTGGTGAAAATTTTTGGTGGGGGGGGGCGCAGTCTGCAAATAACCTTTTATTTAAAATCGGAAATTAGAATATGAGTAACATTAGGCACAACAATTTACAGGAATGCAAATTGTCTATGCAAATTTAACATTATCAAGACTTACCAGAACTAAATTTCAAAACCATTCATCAAACTTTCATCAGTATTTACAGGATCTGTACAAACTCAAAACACATAACATAGATACTGAAAAAAACACTATTCAGGGCTCCAGACTAACTTTTTCACTGGTAGCACCAGTACGACCCACTTTCTCATTTTGTTGCACCTCCCACCTGGTCAAAGGCAACACATATGACTTGCTGAACATTGTCTTATCGATACAATCTACGAATTACTGATGCTCCCTAAATGTCCCACTTAGCAGGCTGCGATAGCTGTTGTTTGGTGGCTGCGGTGTGCTCTGACAGGTGTGTGACCAAACATGACTTTAAAAATAATAAACTAGGGCATTCTCATGTCAGATTTGTCCGAGGCTAAACCCAGTTACATGTATTCTACACACGGTCTTTTCTATGACCAGCCTTTTCTCCATTGACAGTGTGACCAATGCATTAAGCCATCACGATAGTAGCTGTCATCTAGTAGAAGGGGAGGGGAAAGACCGTGTGACGGTGTCAGAAAGCGCAGTCGTAAGAATGTCGAAGAACAGTGTTGATATCCAACCACAGAAGACAAAAGCAAATAAAGACAAAATTAATTGGCTTACAGCAACAGTGGACGAGTCCAGGACGCACCAAGCTGTGCCCCGTGAGAAAGTCTGCAGCTGCCAATCAGAGCCCAGGCCGAGGTCACAGGATCACGAAAAGTTTCTCAAGCTACATACACAATCATGTGGCCAGCGCCCCGCATCCAGGAAGTGTAAAATTAGTAAACACGCAGTAAAGACTAATATTAAATCTTTTGATAATACAAATATTGTTAATATAGCAAAATAATATAAACATCATTATTAATTTTATTATTATTTTGTTATAATTAATTCAAATTTAATTTTCCATCCATCCATCTTCTCCCGCTTATCCGGAGTCGGGTTGTGGAGGCAGCAGCCTTAGCAAAGCCGCCCAGACTTCCCGATCCGCACACACCTCCCCCAGCTCTTCCGGGGGGACCCCTAGGCATTCCCAGGCCAACTGGGAGACATAATCCCTCCAGCGTGTCCTGGGTCTTCCCCGTGGTCTCCTCCCGGTGGGATGCGCCCGAAACACCTCCCCAGGGAGGCGTCCAGGAGGCATCCGGAAAAGATGCCCGAGCCACCTCAACTGGCTTCTTTCGATGTGGAGGAGCAGCGGCTGTACTCCGAGCTCCTCCCGCATGACTGAGCTCCTCACCCTATCTCTAAGGATTTAAAAATTTAAAAATTTAAAATTTAATTTTTCATTTGAGAACTGCTTTTTATCTGGTCATTAGTAGTGGGGAGGCGGCGCCCCTGCGCCCTGTATTAACCAGCTGCCACTGCTTGGGACTCAGAACATTAATGTATAACGGTCTTTCAGCATCTCTCTCTCTCTCTCTCTGTCTCTCTCTCTCTCTCTCTCTCCCTCCCTGTATGCTGAGTCTCTGGGGTTATCTCTGTTTTCTTAGCATGCCTTGCTTCATTTGTGCCTCATTAGAGGGGGAGTGGAGAGAAAATTATACAAAAAGTAGTTGCTATTAGCTAGATGATGATCACGTCATAGAAGTGGATATTTGACTCACCTTCTCAACTTTTAGGGATATCGTAAATGGATTCAGTGCCAGAGATATTGGTGTCCGAATCTTTGAGGATTTTGCATCATCGTGGCCCTGGATTCTTGTGTGAGTTGCCTTTCTGAGCTACATGGCTACCACCTGCTGGCACACAGAGAAATTAATCTGACAATGTATTGAAAGAGGAATTCCATCTTGGTTGTTTGTCCTCAGATTTTAACATGTGACCCAGAGCCAAATTCATGTTTATGTCAAATAAGCTCTGAATTAGTTTTTTCAGGGCATCTGCATGACAAACATACACTCAGACACACATATGCTCTTTTACAAATCTTCTACATTTTCAGTTTTTGTTAACATGTATGTTAATGGCATGGACAAAATATCAAAAAATTTTAAGCATAGATGAACAAGATTTCCAAAAGTAGCATATATATGGCAGAACTATAGTATTGAAATGCATTAGAGCATTACACTGCACAAGTGTTACTACTAAAGTGCTCAGCGAGTGTTATATCTATGTTACAGGTTGCTGTGCTCATTTATTTTACACTACTTTAGCATTGAACATGTCTCATATGTCTTCAAGTTAAAGAACCTACAGTTGTACGTCATAATAATTTCGCCTCCTCTCCTGTCCACCTCTCTGGTGTCAGCGGGCTGCTAATCGCCATGATGGTCAGTTTGCTGTTCCTGCTGCTGTTGAGGTTCACTGCTCCAATCATGGTGTGGGTGCTCATCATAGGAGTGCTGGTTGCTGGGGCATACGGTAAACACTCACCTTTTTTTAGGAAGAGCTCTGTTTTTTGTTAATGGAACTTTTATAGTTAGGCAACCGACATTTGTATTGCAAGTTTATTTACTATAAATGTTATTTATGTTTTTTTGGAAAAGTCTTCAAATACAGATTATTTACACTTATTTTTTGTTAGTTTTTTTCAAAGATGAGGTACAGTGCTATCTGACTACAAACAAGATTTACATCTTTTATCTATTAAGCTCGGAAGTGTTTGTCTTGTGTTCTGGTGGAGTTAAAAAGTAATAGAGTTTTACATTTACACTGGCACCAAACACAAACAATGTCTATTAGGACTACTCTTATCCGTTCCTAGTAGCCTCTGAGATGTTATCTTGTGTGTCTTCAGATCATCCATCCATCCATTATTTATACACCACTTAATCCTCACTAGAGTCGTGGGGGGGAACCTATCCCAGCTGACTTAGGGCGAAGGCAGGGGACACCCTGGACAGGTCGCCAGTCTATTGCAGGGCTACACTTAGAGACAGACAACCAAGCACACTCACGTTCACACCTACGGACAATTAGAATCACCAATTAACCTCAACATGTTTTTGGACTGTGTGGGAGGAAACCGGAGAACCTGGAGAGAACCCACGCTGCACGGGGTGAACATGCAAATTCCACCCAGAAAGATCCCGGGTGTCCTCACTGGGACGCGAACCAGCGACCTTCTTGCTGCGAGGAAACGGTGACCACCGAGCTGACCACCGAGTCACCTTGCAGCCCTGTCTTCTGATCACTTTCTCCTTTCCATTACAGGGATATGGCACTGCTACTGGGAGTATGACAACTTCAAACACATCACCATCAGTGATGTTGGTTTCACCACAAACTTCAAAACTTATCTAGAAGTTCAAGAGACCTGGCTGGCCTTCTGTGAGTCTGATTAAAATATTTTTGGTGAGAGGTATAAAATGGAAATAAACAATGACAACAATATTGCCAAGTCATGTATCTTTAAACTTTTATATCTAAAAATAAACACATTGAAACTATTCCTGGCATGCGTGAAAGAGTCATATGCTATGTTTACAACACTGTGATGAGTAATGATATTGTAAAATGCCTCCAGTAATAGGTAACAAATGACCCACATTGGGATTATGGCTCAGTTTTGTATATATATCTACATCTACAAATATATCTATATGAGATAGTATCTTTTTCCATAGATTTGCTATTGAGACCACATGTGTGATTGTGTGATTGTGTAGTAGTGATCTGAGTATGTGTGAGTATGGTGTGTCCTGGTTGTGTGTGGCATAGGGAGATGCACAATAGGCTCTGGAGCCTTTTTACATTTTGTACTTTTCTCATTCTGTTTGTCAGTGATAATCATATCGGTGGTGGAGGGCATCCTTCTTCTGACCCTTATCTTCCTGCGAAACAGAATCCGCATAGCAATTGCCCTCATCCAGGAGTCCAACAAGTGAGTTAAGTCATACAATAAGACAGTATCAGGCAACCGGATGGCTGAGAGGATAAGGCACATAACTAGCAATTCAGTGCTGTATGGTTAAATAACTAAATGCCCAAGCTGCTCAAAGACAGCCAGCAGCGACCGGCAACTTTTAAGTTGGAATGTCTTCATGTTGTTCAATGCAAAAAGGCAACATTCCCTAAAATGTTTTAAAAAACACAACATAAAGTTTACTAGGTTACTTTTTATAATCAAATGAACTAACAATACTATTATCTTAAACCATTTTGTTGTAATCAGTATGACCTGAAATTGGTTTATATTTTACTGTGAAGATGATGTATGACCTTAGCATAACCTCATGATGTGTGTTTTTATTCTGCAGAGCAATCTGTCACATGATGTCCTCTCTGCTGTACCCTCTGGTCACCTTTGTTCTCTTGCTGGTGTGTGTTGCTTACTGGAGCACGACTGCTTTGTATCCTTTAATTTTACGTCACCATATGTGTGTATGTTTAATATAGGTTGTTACATGTTGTACCATACATTGCATTTCAGAGGTACAGGCTTTTACTGTTTACACTACACAGCACCAGTTCTTCTCCTAAACTAAAGTTTGCAGATATTTGGCCACTTCAGGTGACCCAGTGTACAAAGTGGTGGCTCTCAACTCCTCTTTAGGCGACTGTGGAAGCATCAATGGCACCGTCAACTGTGATCCTGAGGTGAGTGTGGATAGAAATGTACCCTACATTTTTTTCCTCAGGTGTAGGCAGTTGAAGAAACTTAATCTAAGATACAACAGTACTATATAAATATATCCCCTCTAAAACTGAATTAATAGCCACCTTGTACATGTAATTGAACATTAACATTTGACTGGAATGAAAAGACATACTGTTGGTACTCAGACACTCTTCTCGTTCTTCTGTCCCCTTGTTAGAACTTCAGCCCAACAGATTACCCAGACTGCCCCTCAGTCAGCTGCATCTTTATCAAGTACAACGAAGAGGGTCTCTTCCAGAGAAACCTCTTCAACCTGCAGATCTTCAATGCGGTGGCTTTCCTCTGGTGTGCCAACTTTGTCATTGCTCTGGGACAGTGCACAATGGCAGGGGCCTTTGCCTCCTACTACTGGGCCTTCAACAAACCCGATGACATCCCCATGTTCCCCCTGTGTGGCGGCTTTATACGCTCACTGAGGTATGTTAATGAGCTGCTGTCACACCAATCACATTCTGCAACAATAAATGTGTCAGAATCTCAAACTGCAAAATGCCTGCAAATCCCAGCAGAGCCATTTCCTGACCTCCAACATGAATACAGTATGTATGTGCCACAGTGAAAACAAGTTGTAAACTGTAGTGATGTTTGCTACTTGGATGATTTGTTATAAAGCTGCTTGTGACAGTGAACAATAGCTTTACCTGAATAACTCAAACTATTTTATCCTGCGGTTAGAGATCAGCTCATACTGATGAATGCAATTTGTCTCATAGAGAGCGCACTCGTTTAACGACATATAACAGTTTGTAGAAGTAGAACTGAGCATCATATCAGCACACACTGTAGCTTTTCAAGTTTTTAGGGTTTTTTTTTTACAAGCCACACTGACATTTTACGCTTTTTGCATTTGATTAACGTTGTTTGGCTGTACACAGATGATCTAATAATCACATATTTTGATGGAGGATTTGTCACTATTAAATCTCTTTTGTTATGCATCAAATCAATATGGCATTTTATCATTTACTTTTCTGTAACTTCAATATCTCATATATCCTTTAAGACATGATGTTTATTCTTTAATTTTAGGTACCACGTTGGCTCCTTGGCATTTGGTTCTTTGATCCTGACCCTGGTGCAGATTATAAGGATTATCCTGGAGTACATTGAAAAAAGAACAAGATGTAAGGCTGATGAAGCTCATTTCTCCAGTAACAAAAAGAAACCCATCCATCCCTAAAAGTGGTGATAAATTAAATGATTCTTCTGTATAAGAAAACCACTGGACACAGGATAAATCATGAAAGCCTATTTCTCCACACATGAAAATGTGTAATTTTAGAGATACATAGATCACTAAATATCACTCAGGACATCAAAGATTTATTTTCCAAATGACTCGGTAGAAGAATAAAGTACAGTGTACTATATGAAAGAACTTAGGTTGCTAATTATTCTTCTTGTTTCCAGCATCCCATAATCCAATCATGCGTTGCCTAAAGTGCTGCTTCTGGTGTCTGGAGAAGTGCATCAAGTTCCTCAACAGGAACGCATACATCATGGTGAGCACAGCATCCTCGTGTACAGGTTTCTATCCTGTCGTTCTTAATTGTGCTGTTACTGTTTACACCATCATCACAAGATAAAAACATGCTTTGCTGAATAAGTGAATTGAATAAGACTTTTTTCTATTGACTCCATTAAAGTCTACTGAGCATGTCTCACTTTATTTGAACATCATTACATAATTTATGCAACCACCATCACTAAACGGTTCGTGTTGGTTTATTTTCTTAAAATTAGATCTTTTTTTTTTTTTGCAGATTGCCATCTATGGGAAAAACTTCTGCGTCTCAGCCAAAAATGCCTACATGCTTCTCATGAGAAATATAATAAGGTTTGTGCTGTAGTTACTCTTCCTGCACACAAAGAGTTTTGGTGTGCGTTACCAATACTGCAGACTAGCTGTTGTCTGTGTAATGAAACACCTGTGCACAACAGGAATACCTTTGCATGTGTTTGAGAGACTCTGAATAGTGTCATGTTTCTCTGAACTGCACTGTGTGTCCTCTCAGAGTTGTGGTGCTCGATAAAGTGACAGACCTGCTGTTGTTCTTTGGGAAACTGCTGGTGGTTGGAGGAGTTGGTAAGGATGACACCATGCACAAACTTTATATCTAACAGTATATTTTCTTTAAATATTTGTAGCAGGGTTTTTTGTTTTTTTGTTTTTATAAAAGAAAACCTTTTTTTTTTTTTAGACTAAACACACAGATTGACAATATGTTGTTCTAATAATATGTGTTCACAAATTTTTAAACTATAAAATGCAATATAAAATCACCTTCAGTAAGTGAAGTGATAACTTGCTGGCAATCAGTTGCCTATTTAGGCATCTGACAGAAAATTAGTAACACAAGTTTTTCACACGGAATCATTTTTCTGGCCACCTCACGAACAGTGGAGCATTTAGTAGCTACACTTCCAGGTATTAGTTTAGACCTGAGCTAAAAGGACAGTAAATGGTATTCATATTCACCTGCTGGACTGATACTGTTTAGTGCTGAGCAGAGCAACAGTACCAGAGTTGTTCTGCAGGAAACAGCTGCCTGCTGCAGCTACAAACATGGTTGATGAGTGGAAAAGATTCAGAGCTACAAAGTACATTTACTGGTTGGATAAAACCAAAACAATCAGATGAAGGATGTCAGAAGAATTACATAATCAGGGGACAACTCACCAGGAGCGACCCCTCCCATAATTATGGGTCTATGCATCTTTAAAGTTGAAAAAGGGGTAAACTAGACAAGACATCCAAATACTGTTTGCTGTTTTTGGGGAAAATTTGTGTCGACACACAACCTGTTTCAGACATTGATACCTGCATCTTGATGTATATGAAAAAATAACAAGTGGTAAACTATTGCACAGCTAATAAACCTACGGGTCAGTAAACTTAAAACTTGAAAAATTAATATAATAAAAAAAAAAAAAGTACAATGGAACTACTGAATAGTAAAATCGGGTTATTGTACATACCATGCAATATATATATGAAACTAGAAGTTTACATACACTGACTGTATAAAAAGACACATCCCCCCCTTTTTTTCCTCACTATCTGACACCACCTGTAACCACCAACTCCACACGTTTTTTTATAGATGCAATAGTGAGAACAAAGAAAATAAATTAAAATTTGTTTTATATTACAGTGTAGCACAATAAGAGATTACATTAATGCGTCAAAAACATCAGGAGAGGCTGAAATCTTTTCTTTTTTCTAGGTGTTTTGTCTTTCTTTTTCTTCTCTGGACGAATTCTGCTACCAGGCAGCACTTTCCGCTCTGAAACCCTCAACTACTACTGGATGCCAATCATTGTAAGTCACAAGCTTTGTCTATTTTGATAGTTTTGTGTGTTTAAGCCTTGTTTTGGTTTCAACATGTTGATTTTTTTTTTTCTGTGTTGTTGTAGACAGTGGTGTTTGGCAGCTACCTCATAGCTCACGGCTTCTTCAGTGTCTACAACATGTGTGTCGACACACTCTTCCTCTGCTTCTGTGAGTAAATCTTTGTTTAAAAAAGCCTGAACGTTCACATTTCATTAACTAGATAAGGTTTCATTTACAGTAAAATCACCACAATTATTACCTTTTTTTGTACCATGCTAATTTTAAACTAAAGTTCTAAAAAAATAACTGTTTAGTCATTTTAATTAAGTACTATCACAATATATAAACACACCCATGGTTTTTTCATCACTCTTCACACTGTGATGTCCCTCTCACAGTGGAGGACTTGGAGCGTAATGATGGATCTCTGGAGAAACCATACTTTATGTCCAAAAACCTCATGAAGATCCTCAACAAATCCAACAAGGCACCAAAACAGCGTAGAGGGAAGGACTGAAGGCGTTTTTCCTTCTTCAGCTCGCGGAGTTCATTAAACCGCACAAACACTGTTCCACACATTCAGGGTTTCTTTGTCATTTGCGTCTTTTAACTTTGTAGCATTCCATTTTCTTTTCCTTAAGACGTTTACCAAAACTTAACTACTAATTTTGCACTTTTTAATTATTGCAATTTTCATATACATGTGCATATGTAGTATTAATGATTGCACATATGAAAAGACTGCGCATGGGACTGCAGCTTATGTGAATGTATTTTTGTTCTCCTACTTGACATATTTCTTAATCTGTTAAAAATTTGTTGTGTTTTGTTCATCATTTTAAACTACATTTGTCAATGTTTCTGCTGTTTCCATTTTAGACGTTGTGGCACATCAGTTCATCCAGTTTAACGCCGTTTGTTGCCAGTAAGATTTGGGTTTTATAGACAAAGATGTGATTGCTCAGATGCAACAAAAGCATTTGCAACAATTAGAAAAACTGTTCTTACAAAATATATATTGTTAGATGTTATTTGTAAAAAGGTTGTTTTATAAATGCAAATATTTTTATGGCAATATTGTTGATTGCATTGAAAATTGTAAAATAAACTGTAAATGTGGCATCAGCCTATAGTTAAGAATAAATACTTTCATTGTCTTCAGGTTTTCTGATCCTTTTAGATATTTTGATTATTATGACCATATTGTAATCTTTGCCCAGCTGAAGGTCAAATCATGGGTTTATTAACAGAAAACAGACACACAATAAGTCATGTAATTCTGGCCGAACTACTAGAAACTGGCCACTGTATTATTAGCAGCACATAAGTTCATTTGCATCTTCATGGGGGTGAAACCTTTTCAGTACAGCTGGATGTTTGATTGGTGTGAAATATGCTTCTCATGACACATGACAGAAAACCTGATTTCCACAGCCACATGTGATCATGTGATATCATGTGATCGCATGTGTAGGTAACTGAGGTGAGTGACGAGTCAGTGTGCACCTGATACTAAACAGCACGTGGCTGTTAATGACTGAACATGTTAACGTTTGATTTTTATCAGTAACTATCTGTGGCGTGCTCTAAACCTTCTGGTTTGTCCTTAAGTAAGGTGTCAATAACTCTGTATTTGTTGCTTATAACTGTATTTTCTACTTTGGTTCCCCTAAATTTTTGCACTAGTTGAACATCATATTCATTTTCTTCTTTTATCCTGTTGTCCTTGTTCAAATGGACCTTTTGTGTGCAAGTACTTTGAGAGCTTAGAAAACACCAGTGTCAAATTCCTTTTATGCCTTAACATACATGGTCTGATTCTACAAGTGTAATACGTGTAGAATGACAGAAACCATTGACACCATAGATATGTATAATAAAGGCTAGATGTCTCATCTGCGCTGTCGGCCAATGGAATCGCACGGCCACACTGGCTGCCATCTTGGTACGGTGCGCTCGCTCACCCATAACATTGTGATGTAGTGGTGCATGTATTTTTTAAATAACCATAACTTGCTCATGTTCTACTGATTTTCAAACAGTTTGGTTTGTTATAAACGTCAGAGGTGTAGTTATAACACTGCACTTATGGATAATTATGTTACACTCGCACAGCCAGCAACAATCTGTATTTTAGTTATTTTGTATTTTTGTAATTTGAATTGTAGCCACGTTAATAACGATTGTAAGAAACCAAACCGTTTGCATCAAGATTTCAGCGAGATAAGAGTATTTATTTTTGTGCAGATCACTTACCTTCCTTCACTTACCACAGGTTCCGCCACAGAGCTTCCCCGTATCAAGATGACCGAAGGGTGATCCCGTTCGAAATGCCGCCTTAAGACATCTAGCCTTTATTATACATATCTATGATTGACACCACAGTTTAAACTCTGGGTCACACCTGCTGCAAAATGTGTCACTATTATACTGAGACTGCGAATAACGCCTGAACCATGTATTATTGATGAATGGGCAGCATGAACAGGCCCTGAAATATTCTCAAATTAAGTAAAATTAAATTCTGGCTTAGGTCTAAATATTTAATAGTCACACTTCATATGTCCTGAATTGCTGCCTTTTGTGTTTTGCGTATTGTCTGTGGAACGTATTCCGCCCTATTTGTTCACTACAAAGAAAAGCAGCAAATCATCACATCTGAGAAGCTAAATTAAACAAAAATCTGCTCCTTAGTTTCTGTTCAAGGATTAATCAGTTGTTTTAGCTCTAATAAAGCCCAATCCTGCAATCCAGCCCTTTGATAATTTTAAGGTGCACACAATAACAACACAAAACAAGTCAGTGTTTTAATCAAGTTTTAATCTCCTAGACCATTTGGTTTTGCACAATGTCTCCATGTTTAGTCCATCAAAAGACTTCCATCACTTGTTTTAGTATCACATAAGCCCCATAATACAAAGTGTAGCTTCAACAGACAAGTATGCGAGAAATGAGGAGCCCCAGTGGCTGCCGTCCATCCCACAGAGGTCCTGAACTTTCATCTCTGACCCTGGTGTGAATGTCGAAGTGCTAAAGACCCGATTCTTTACATGTAGTTTGACTGAAAGTTACATAAAACAGTCGGTGTGAAAGTAGTGACATCAGTAGCCCAAAACTCTGTTGAGTTGTGGGTAACTGTAAGATGTTGATAAGCAAGAAGAATGTCTGTTCGTCTCTGGTTGTACTTTGTTGTACTTGGTCCTGTTTTTACTAGAACCAAAGAAAAGACTGAATCTGGGTCTTTAACACTGTGCTTTTCATTTCTGACACATCCAGATGAATGTTCGTTTCTGGATTATACTCTTTAACTGCTGCTCGGTCACAGCTTCTACAGTAAAAGGGAGAACATTAACATCACATTAGCAGGGAACTTTTTTTTTCCTCCTTGTGATTTATTAATCTTCGTGGGAGAGGAGTTATTAACTTGGGCTGCAAGCCTTTTTTTTTTTCTTTTTCGAAAGTAGTTCTGAAAACCAGGATCATTTCTTGCTTTACAAAAGCATCCCGTCCTCTCCGTGGCTGGCCATCCAGTCAGAAACACGTAAAAACAGCATTTACAATATTCATATATACAGATATATAATGGACACACACTCACTCAGACACATAGTCAGAAATAAACAAATCAACTGTGACAGAAATGTTTTATATTTTTAGAATCACGCCAGGGCACAGTTTACTCAACTGTTTGCTTGTTAATTCTGCAAGTAAGTTGTGTTTTTCTACCTTCACGACTCTTTTTACGCTGACATGCATCGACTCGGCGTCTTATCCAGCTACTTTAACCAGCCAGAGTGTTTCTCTCTTGGAATCTGACAAACTGTGCATGTCGGATTTACTCCTGAGTTACTCACGTTGGTATGAAAAACTACCAAACTGGCCCTTTAATGGTTTATCCATCCAGCTTTATTAACACAGAGGGAACCTGTGGTTATAGAAGCAACAAGTGGTTCAACACCAGCACACTCTCCAAACGTTTAGGACAGTTCGAATGACTTCACAGTGCAATGGCAGTTTTTTTTTTTTTTTTTGTTTTCTTTTTAAGACAAAAAAAAATTTAAAAAAAAAAAAAAAAAATGCATCCAACTGTGCCATTTTCTGTCTGTCGTGAATTCTAACGAGGGCATTTCACGAGGAACACTGTAAACGGGAACGTAACTCGATTTCGCCCATCGACTTCCTGACCCGCTACTCTTTGGCCTTTTAAGAGAAAGAAATAGCTACAGTGGCCACTACGTTATCTCAAACCCTCCCCCATGTCCTCACCTGACCTCAGCGCCTCCCTCTCTTTATTTAAGGAATACGCTTCCTTCGAGATGGATGTGAAAAACCAAAACAGAATTAGTCACTTCCCCGAATATTCCTCCATCTACCTCTGTCTTGCGCTCGACACACACACAAAAAAAAATCTTTTACAAAGGTCACCCTGATCACATAATACTGTCTCTGAACACCAGCAGTGTTAGACTTCAGCGTCCATCTTTAGTTTCTTTGTGTGCATGTATCTACAGGCGTGTGCAGAGGGAGGGCTGACTTATTTTGGGATTTGCACAGCGCAGTGTTTTTTTGCATAAACAAAATGAACAGAGCAGTCGGAGGGTGGTTGGGGGGGCTGAGTGTCTGAAAGTGATTGGATTTTGTGAGGAGGAGAAACCAAATTGCTGTATTTTGTTGTTTGTTTGTTGTTGTTTTTTTTTTTTGGGGGGGGGGGGATTAAACACAATGCTCCGCTTTCTCACAAGTTAGAAAAATGTATCATGTGTCTGTCTGTGGCTCGAGTTAAGTGTGCAAGTTTTTTGTTTGTTTCGTTTCTTTTTTTCGCACTCCTCCCTCCCGCTCATCAATCCGCTCCTCTACCCGTCCAGGTCTCCGTCAGACGCTCAGCAGCCAGAAGAAGAAGAAGATGGCCACAAACAAGAACAGGGAGTCTTGCCAGTTGTTATTGCCGTTGTTGAGGTTACCGTTGCCTTGGTGATCACCTGCATACTGGTCTAATAACAGGAGGAGGAGAATAAAGGTTGTTACTGCGGAGCCGACTCCCTTTGATAAAGCTGCAAATAAAAAGGAGCCCTTTTTTCTCGCTAATTATCAAACCTGCACAGAATAACGTGAACATTTTCCTGCGCACCCTCACCCTGTTGAATTAAAGGTACTATGTTTGGGAAAGTGAATCAAATGACATGCACTTTTTATTGCTAATGTTTTCATGGATTGTAACACAAGTTTAATTAGACCTTACAACTTTCTTGGATCTGTTTGTCTGTTTTCCCAGTTACGCATTAAAGCCCTAATCACTAACAAAATATGAAAACAAGGTTACAGAGAAGCAATAAAAACTGCTTATTGTTTTATTGCAAATTGCTGCTGTGAGATAAGCTATCAGGTTGTGGACAGAATTTTTTTTTTTTTTTTTTGTCAGCAACACAGGCAGCAGATTTGACCTGATTAGCATTAGTTACCTGGAGCAATTGTTTGATGACACATTACAGTAATATCACTAATGAGGGGAAACGCCCCTCAGATACGAAACATTAAGAATGTTTCATTCTTAAAATTAATAATATGAAAAAAAAATAAAAAAATAAAAAATGACAACAGCCTCTGTAAAACTAACCGGGGGTCCGTTTCACAAAGCAGGTTTAGTGAAAACTCTGAGTCTGTTAACCCTGAAATGATGGAAACTGAGTTTTTCGTTTCACAAAGGGAGATAACTCCAACCAGAGACAGAGGGGTAACTCTAGCCTGTTTCACAGAGAGAGCTAACTTAACACCTCGGTCAGTTAATGTTGTAACAGACTATGAACCCAGCCTGGTCGGGACCAGGTTTTTCTCAGTGAACCTCAAGTTTCTCTCTGTCTCCGCCCTCCTTCAGCCACACATGCTATTTGATTTCCTCATTCATTCATTCATTCATTCATTCATTCATTCATTCAGTCAGTCAGCAGGCGAGTTTTGGCGCAGCCTAGTTCTGCTGCCTGTCAAAAATCATTTTAAAAAAATCAGTCAGTAGACTATATTAGAAATCCATTAGGCACAAGAGGTGGCGACTGTTTTCACAATTGATGGCATGTCCTTTTGTTAACGATCCCGTATATGAAGGTGCAGCATTACTGCGCAGAGAACTAAATATGCGTCAGGTGATGGTTATCAGACCGCACATAGATGTTCTAGAATTTCCAGGCAGTTATCTTTTTGAGTGGTACCATTTCACATCACAGTCCATCATCTACATACACAACCTAGT